TATAAATATTATAACAATAACTAACCACCTATTGTTGTCCCTATCTTACATCAATTCATCCGTCGTTTGCTATCGCTAATCTAATATCGGCACCCACTTACTGACGCTCTCCCGATTCGATAGTAACACCGGCACCACGAAATCACGGGGTACCGAATTATGACACTATGGTCAACTGTCACATCCACTCTTTTCTTCCTCGCTATAATCAACAGTTTCATCCGCTCTTTCTTCATTCAATTCATTCGCTCTTACTGCAATATCATTATCAGCTCTCGCATTGTTAGAGTAAGTTGAATCAGAATTAGGATCAGTCAAATCCGACTTTGCTCAAACTGAATCGGAAGCCCTTTCCTCATCAGTTCTTGCAGCGATGGAGTCAGTCAAATCCGACCTAGTAGGGTCAGCCAAATTCAACCTTGCTCCAATCAAATCTCCTGAACTTGAAGCAATTACCTCGTCATAATTGTCAGCATAATTTGCAACAACCCTATGAATTTCTGCGCCATATGTCCACCAAGTCGATAATTCGGCCTTTACGTTTCTCTATATGCAAAAAAAAAAAAAAAAAAAAAAAAATTTAAATTTAAAAATTTGCAAAAATTACATTAGAATTTTCGTATTTTATATAAATATATAATATTTATAATTCCATTATAATTATAATTAATTGTCCACGCCGTAGTGGGTTTTCGTTATTATAATTACTCTAATAATGGACTTTCATTATTGTAATTACTTGGGCATCCCGGTAATAGATTTCATTACAATTACGTGATCACTACTATAATTGATATTATAGTTACTTATATTTTCATCATAGTTAAAATTACTTGGCCATTAGTAATGGGTTTTCATTTTATTCTAATTACTCGGCTACTACAGTAACGAACTTTCATCATAATTATAATTACTTGGGCTACAACGGGCTTTCATCTTTACGATTACTTGGACATTTGTAGGGCGTTCATTATAATTATAATTATTTGACCATTACGGTAATAAACCTTCATAATAATATCTATTTGTCTAAAATAGACTATCTCAATAAAACGTTATTAAGGAAGATGCGTAACCAATTTCTATTTCGAAATGGTAGACCTATAAATGCTTTAATGAGCAGTAGTTAATCACTTAATGTTATTGCAATTACTTGGCTATTCCGGTAATGGGCGTTCATTACGCTGATTACTTGGGCGCGACTGAGATGTTTTCATTATTATAACTACTCATCACTATAGCAATAGGTATTATAATTACTTGCATTTCATTATAATTATAATCACTATAACTATAATTACTTGGCCATTATAGCAACGGGCGTTCATCATAATACCTATTCGTCTAAAAAAACTACCTCAATAAAACATTATCAGTGAAAAAACATAACCGATTCCTCATATAGAACCGGTAGATATTAATAATTGCCTTAATGAGACGCGGACATTTTTTAAATTTTTAGTGTCGTTAAATTACTTAATTTTATTTGCAAATTTTTCTGTTTTACTTGCGCGCAATCACATATATTACGAAATGTGATTAAATTTTTTTTTAGATATAAAATTTTAAAAACCTTACGTTATCCTAGAGTTCTTTGGCTAATATTAACCTCTCTACATTGTCTGGGTTATTCGCAATGCATCTTATTAGTGTATCGATATAGTCTCTACATTCTGGCCGTTTTTCAAATGTAAATATGTTTTTGCGAATCTTACTGTAAAAATAATTTATTGGATTTGGAAAGGCAGTAGTAAATTTAGTAAAGTATTCTTCATTTGATTGAATCATGTTGAGTAAGTAAGCAACAACAATGAAAACAAATGATGAGAAAAGAGTGAAAAACGATCTTATATACGTACGTATGTGAAAAGTGAAGTTATATGCCTAGGTGATACAAAAACAAAAAAGGAAATTTTGACAAAACTATATGCGGTATCTTATAATAATAAAAATCATCACAGATTTTTTTTATAAATAAAACTAGAGGATGCAGATATGGGCGGCTTCGCCGCCTGGTTGAGGCTGTTATAGTATTATTTCTTAAAAGAAACAAT